GGCTAGTGTCTCATAAGAACATAGATGCAAAAATCCTAAATGAGTATTGGCAAAATCCATCCAGTGATGTCTAAAAAAGGATAATACATACATCATGAACAGGTATGGTTTATTGCAAGAGAACAAGGTTGGCTAAACAGTTCAAATTAGTAAATTTAATTTACCAATTAAGAGAATGTATGAAAAATACCATAATGATCATCTTAATAGGTGAAGAAGAAATTTTGATTAAAAAATTCCAGCCTAGGGGCTGGCCCCGTGGTGTAGTGGTTAAATGTGCGTGCTCTGCTGCTGGCGGCATGGGTTCGGATCCCGGGCCCGCACCCCTCTTGTCAGGCCATGCTGTGGCGGTGTCCCACATAAAGTAGAGAAGGATGGGCACGGATGTTGACTCAGGGCCAGTCTTCCTAAGCAAAAAGAGGAGGATTGGCAGTCGATGTTAGCTCAGGGCTGATCTTCCTCACAAAAAAAAAAAAAAAAAAAATTCCAGCCTAGTTCGTGATTATAAGAAATCACGTTTGTGTGTAATTTTTACTGTCAGTCTAATTATGGCCTTATATTTAAATGCATCTTTTGTAAACAGCATATAGTTTGGTCTTGTTTTGTTTTGTTATTGTTTTTAAATCCAGTCTGATGATTTTCATATTTTGATTGAACTGTTTTTTCCGTTTCCATTTAATGTTTTTATTGGCATAGTGGGGTTTAAACTTACCATATTGCTGTTTGGTTTCTATAAGTTTTATCTATTCTCTTCTCATTTATTTTTTCTCTTCCTTTCTTTTGGAGTGATCATGTATATTTTTAATTTTTATACCATTATTTTTCTCAGTTAGCTTTTAAAAAATATATTCTTCTAGTGGTTACCATCAACATTTCAATATGCATTCCTGTTCTGTTATAGTCGATCTTAGCTATTATAGTCGATTTTATGTTAGTATACTTTCAGAATAATGCAAGAACCAACTTTGCAAAACAGTTCCAAATAATGCAAAAACCGATAATGCATTTACCTTCTCTCACCCTTTTAGTGTTTTTGTCACATACTTTTACTTTCTATATTATTTTCTGTATACTTTTTATGCATAGAGTTGACTAAGCTTCTTCCATCTGTGAGTTGGTGCCTTTTACCATTGTAATAATTTTATATTATTTTGTAATAAATTGCCGTGAATTTAGCAGCTTAAAGCAACACCCATTTATTATCTCACAGTTCTGTAGGTTAGAAGTCTGGATCAGCTTGTCTAGGTTCTCAGCTTAGGGTCTCACAGGGCCAAAATCAAGGTGTCGGTTGGTCTGGGCTCTTTTTTTTTTTTTTTTTAAAGAGATGAGTTCTTATTTATTTATTTATTTTCCCCCAAAGCCCCAGTAGATAGTTGTATGTCATAGCTGCACATCCTTCTAGTTGCTGTACGTAGGACGAGGCCTCAGCATGGCCGGAGAAGCAGTGTGTCGGTGCACGCCCGGGATCCAAACCCCGGGCCGGGCCGCCAGCAGCGGAGCGCGCACACTTAACCGCTAAGCCACGGGGCCGGCCCCTGGGCTCTTATCTAAAGGCTTTGAGGAAGAATCCGCATCTGAGCACGTTTAGGATGCTGGCAGACTTCAGTTTCTTATGGTTTTAGAACTGAGGCCCCTATTTTTTTGCTGACTGTCAGCTAGGGAACATTGTAGCTTCTAGAAGCTGCTCTCCATTCCTTGCGCATGACCTCTTCCATCTTAAAAGCCAGCAATGGCATGTCAAGTTTTTCTCATGCTTGCTTTCTCTCTGACTTCCCCTTCTGCCATCAGAAAGAGAAGAAACTCTGCTGTAAAAGGGCTTCCTCAATTAGATTAGTTCCACCTAAATAATCCCCTTTGGATTAACTCACAGTCAGCTGATTAGTAATCTTAATTACATCTGCAAAATCCCTTTTTTGCTATATATGGTAACATAATCATGGGTGTAAGACATTATCATATTCAGTCTTGGATATTAGGGCAGACAGTCTTGGGGGTGGTATTTTAGAATCCTGCCACCTCAATAATTTTTTAGATAATAGCTTTATTGAGATATAATTCACGTACCAAAAATTCACCCCTTTAAAGTTTATAATTTAGCAATGAAACACCTAATATTTCAGAATAATTTTACCACTTCAAAAAGAAACCCCGTACCAATTATAGTTACTCATTCCCTCCTACAGCCACTGACAATCACTAATTTAGTTTTTGTCTCTATGTATTTGCCTATTCTGGAAGAATCATACACCATTATGTGGCCTTTTGCATTTGGCTTTCACTTAGCGTGTTTTTAAAAATTCATCCATGTTGTAATATGTAACAAAACTTCATTCTTTTTTATGGCTGAATAATATTCCATTGTATAGGTATATCACATTTGTTTATCCATTCCTCAGTTAATGAACATTTGGGTTGTTTTTGCTTTTTGGCTATTATGAATAATGCTGGTATGAACATTCATGTATAAGTTTTTGCATAGACATATGTTTTCAGTTCTTTGAGTATGTACCTAGGAGTGTATGGTACGCTGAAAAGTGACCTCCTCCCCAAAGTAAAAAATATCAGGTCCTAATAAATGGAAACTGTAAATGTTAATTTATTTGGAAAAAGTATCTTTGTAGATATGAATAAGTTAATGATCTTGCGTTGAGATTATCCTGCATTATCTGGGTAGGACCTAAATGCCATCACAGTTAAGAGGGAGACAGAGGGGGATTCAACACAGACACAGGAGAAAAGACACACATACACATAGAGGAGAAAGTAATGTGAAGATGGAGACAGAGATTAGAGTGCTGTGGCCACAAGCCAAGGAATGGTGGCAACCACCATAAGCTGGAGGAGGCAAGGAACAGATTCTCAGATGATGTTCAGAGCTTCTGGAGAGAGTGTAGCCCTGCTAACATCTTGATTTCAACCTGGTGATACTGATTTCAGGCTTCTGGTCTCCAGAACTGTGGGAGAATGAATTTCTGTTGTTTAAGTCATCCAGTTTGTGGTAATTTGTTACAGCAGCCATGGGAAACCAATACAGAGTGGAATTGCTAGATCATATGGTAACTCTATGTTTGACATTTTGAGGAACTGCCAAACAGTTTTCCAGAGTGGCTACACCGTTTTACATTCCCACCTGGACTGTATAAGGGTTCTAATTTCTCCGAATCCTTGTGAACACTTGTTATTGTCTGTCTCTCTGATTATAGGTATTCTAGTGGTTGTGAAGTGGTATCTCATTATGGTTTGGATTTACATTTCCCTTATGACTGATGATGTTCAGCATCTTTTTATGTGCTTATTGGTCATTTGTATATCTTCTGTGCCCAAAATGTTTATTCAAAGCCTTTGCCCATTTTTTTTTTTTTTTTTGGAGTGAGGAAGAGCAGCCCTGAGCTAACATCCTATGCCAATCCTCTTTTTGCTGAGGAAGATTGGCCCTAAGCTAACATCCATGCCCATCTTCCTGCACTTTATGTGGGATGCCACCACAGCATGGCTCGACAAGTGGTGCCTCGGTGCGTGCCTGGGGAACCTGCGAACCCTGGGCCGCCGAAGCGGAGCACGTGCACTTAACCACTTGCGCCACTGGGCCAGCCCCAGCCTTTGCCCATTTTTTAATTGGGTTATTTGTCTTTTTGTTGTTGAATTGTAAACTTTTATAGTTTTAGTTCTTATTTTAGGTCTGTGATCCATTTTACTTAATTTTTATATGTGGTGTGAGGTATGGGTGCAATCACTTTTGGGAAATTCTCAACCATTACCTCTGCAAATATTGCTTCTGCCCATTCTCTCTATCCTCTCCATCCAGTTGATGCATACTAGATGTTCTGACTGTGTCTCACATATCTCTTATGATCTTTTCTGTTTCTTGCATTTTTTTTCAATTTTTGCTTCAGTTTGGATATTTTCTATTGATCTGTCTTTGAGTTCACTAATCCTGTCTTCTACTGTTGTACTTATCCAATCAATTTTAATTTGAGGTATTGTAATTTTCAGTTACAGAATGTCTATTTGATTCTTTTTTTGTTTGTTTTTACTATTGCAGTTCTTTGAAATTCTGCTTTCTATCCATTTTGTACATCTTTTCCTCTATTTTATTTAACTTATTTATAATAGTTATCTTAAAGTCGTTGTCTGTTAACTCTAATATTTGGAGCAGTTTCTGCTTTTCGCAGATTTACTGATTTATTGCCTCTTCATTTTAGAACATATGGATTTTTAAAAAAAAATCTCGATTTTGTTTTTAGCATGGTAGAAACAGCCATGAGGCTTGTTGCAGGAAGGGGAAGAGTAGGGCAGGCACTGGCCCTTTGTTTCCTGGGTCACCTGGAAGGAAGCATTTGTTTTTCTGGAACTGCCTATATAATGTACCGATTACTCAGGGTAGATGGTAAGAACAGTAGCATTAAAGAAAGAAGAGATCAATATGACATCTAAGTGATTAGTGCAGTGTCGGGTACATAAGTGTCATACTTGCTAATTTATTTGTAAATGCATGTGGAGATAGACACTGAGCCAAATATATTTGGAGAGTAATAATCATCTTGATATTGTGGCTTAGTAAGCATGATTAGGGTCTATGCTGTTTTGCATAAAGCATTTATTAGTATTTATGATCTTCATAAACCCTTAAAATTATTTCTCTGTTTTTTGGCATTGCTATATGATTAGCTAAGGATATTTTAAGTACATGAGTTGGTGAGTAGCTTTTAGTTTATTCCCTTAATAAAAATGTCATTTCCTATGCATTCATTATTTTTTGCAATGTAGTAAGAATATTCTGAATTTAGTAAATATTTGAGAGAATTTTTTCTCTTAGGATAAGATATTAACAAGCAAAAGTAAATGTTTGTGTTTACTGTGTTGGTCTGAATAGGTTCTCAAAGTTGATTATGATGATGATGATAATCCTGTAATTGTTTGTATTGTATTTTATTTTCTTAATTCTTGTGTTCAGTGTATTTTTCTTCTTACTTTTGGAGTGTTCATTTTCTTTCTTTAAGAACACGACTTGATGAACTGAGAATGTTTCTAGAGAATGAGACCTGGGAACTTTGTCCTGTTAAGTCAAATTTCAGCATCTTGCAACTTCATGTAAGTGTTTCTTAAGAACAAATAAATCTGTCTTTTGTTTAGTCATCTTAAAAAAAAACAGATAAATGAAAACATTTAAAAAATAATTAAATTAAGGAATAGTGCCTTTCCTTCCTTCCTTAAGAATGATTAATAATAGCAAGCCTCTTTTACAAGAGTGATCCTTTTATGGATGTCAAAATCTCTCTCTTTTTTATGTATTCAATTTATACATATCAGGAAATCTCTTTTGCCTAGAAAGAGTCACAATTAAAATAATTTTTTTCTTTTGATTTCAGAAGCACTTTATTTAAATTTTGCAGAAAATTAATCAGTTATATTTTGATGGTCTTGAATGAAAATGCTTGTATTTTCAGAATATTTGTCAGTTCTTGAAGGGACTAATAGGTTCTTAATTTATGCTGCAACTCAAAAATTTGCCTGTAATGAGAAAATATCTCAGAAATAAAAGAGGCACTTACAAAAAATACTCTTAACTAATTTTTATTAATTAATTGATTTCTTGAATCCTTATAGAATATGTAATCTGTGAAAGTATCTTTAATTGATTTGCTTTTTCCTTTGTTTGAAACACATTGAAGGTAAATATTCCTTGTGTGATAGATCGTGTCCTACAAATACCAAATGTCAAAATACAATGTATAAACTTAGATCCCTGTTTAGAAGGTCCAGTGTGTTTAGTTTTTGCCTTTGGAAGGAATGGCTTTCTAGAAGCATTTTTCTTATTCTGGATAGATGTAAGGAATACGTGATTAAAAAGTTTTTTATAGGAATAGTCTTTATGCTCATACTGTGTAATAGCTTACGTCTTATCCAGTTCTTTCATATTGCTTTTCTAATGTGGAAATAGTAAATACACTGAAACACGTTGATTAATAAATGCCTTAAAGACAGCAAAATTAACATTAATTTATCATTATTTTAGAATTCTTAAATTAAGATGATTCCTTAACATTATTTAAAATTCTAACATTGATTTTAGAATCCCTAATTAAATAATTTTATTGAATTTGTATCTAAACATCAAATTGTATGTGTGTGCGCGCGTGTGTGTGTACATATACTTGGTGTAATTATAGCGCAACTTTGTTTTTACAAGTATGCTGGAACATTTCCATCCAAGTGAGCATTATCTCCTTTAAAGTAGTTACCTTGAAGTTTCAGTTATTGAAGATGAGTAAGTTCTAGAGATCTACCATATAAGATTTTGCCTATACTTAACAGTACTGTATCGTGCACTTAAAAAAAATTTTAAAGGATAGACCTCATGTTAAGTGTTCTAACCACAACAACAAAAGTAAGTAGTTACCTTGAAAACTATTCATAATTGAGATAGTGTTCACTTGACACATGTATTCCTGTAGATTTGGTTTTTAAAAAAATTTGTCTCATTTATAGTCACCTCTTGTTTAGTATTATAAAAATAATGGCATGATTTTTAAGCACTATGATGGATCTGATTTAATATTTAGTTGCAATTTAAAAAGAAAATAAACACATCATTTGAAACTTAACAAACCAATGTAATTTTTAAGATTATCATTGAATATGAAAAATTTTAAATTGGGGATTAATATTAAAAAGATTAAAAGATACAAGAAAAATATGTACTACTTTTTTTGTGAAAAATCATCAAATCAAGAGTTTTGTAATTCAAAGGAACTTTAGAGGTTATCCCATCTCTTCCTCTGATTAGCAGCATGATCTTGAACTTGGCACTGAATCCCTCTGGACTGCTTCAGTCTCCTCCTCTGGGAAATGCATGATTTGGACTGGATGCTACAGCTCTTTAGCTTTAGCATTTATGATTCTTTCATTCTAGATTGACTCTCTCACTTTACAGATAAGGAAATTGAGGCACAGAGAAGCCAGGTGACATTCCCTACATTTTATGGGAAGTTAGTGGAATATAGTGGATTACTGGCAAGCTAGGACTAGAAGACGTATCATCTGACCTCAGCATGTGTGTTTGTGTTGTCTGATTCTTCGTATATGGAGAAAAATAAATGAAAGTGTTTAGACATTAATATAACAAAGATATATCCTTCATGCCTTGTTTTTGATGTATTCATATAGACTATCTTAAATGGTGCAAGCATATAAGTATGAAAGGTGTTTGACCTAACAACAATTAGTTTTTATAAATTACTTTATTGATTAAAACCGTATCCTACTAGGACTTGTGTTGCTATGTTAAAATTTTAAGAATTATCATTCAAATTAAAGTTATTTTCAAAAATTTTTTGTGCATTTCCATAAAGTAAGCCAAAAGTAGCTTGATGTAGATAGCACTGTTTTAAGTGATATCAGCAACTGAGTTGTCTTTAGGAAAACCTTTGAACGTGTATTTCCAAGTTTGTGCTTTCAGACAACTTGAAAGATTTTAAAGTAAATAACCTCAAGAATCAGGATTAATTTATTTTTCACTAAGTCTACGTTGACAGTGCTAGGATATGTTTATGCACTTGAATTTTATTGTTGTTGCTAAAAGGCATCTGGCTCCTTTTTTTAATGTCTAGGAATTTAAATTCATGGAACAGTCTCGTTCCCCATCAGTTTCACCTAGTAAGCAGCCAGCCTCAACTTCCTCAAAAACAGTGACCTTGTTTGAGCAGTACTGTAGTGGTGGGAATCCATTTGAAATTCAGGCCAACCACAAAGATGAAGAAACAGAAGATGTCCTGGCTTCTAATGGGGTATGTGGTGTTTTTAAAACATATTGTGGAACATAAGTGAGATTTTCTTAATGAAAAGTGTTCTACCCACTGAGCAAGGTAATTGGCTAGATTTATTTATCTGGTCATCACCTGCCTTCCTACCTATATACTTACATACCTGCAATACTACTTGTGCAGATAATGGCTTTACAGTATGCTTTGTTGACATTGTCCTTTTGAACGATAAATTTTGATTTATGATTACTTTGTGTTCTTATTAGATTACTTTATGTTCTTACCAGATTACTAATTGAGTGGGAGTATAGTTTCTTCACTGCATATTTATATGATTTCTTGGATAGACAGATGGATGAGGGAATAGATCATCTGCCCTTTTCTCTCAACTCAACTCTTGGGCAACTAAGTGAGTCATTTTGTTCCATCTCCCTTTATCGGAGAGAGGGTAATGTCTTGCTTAGTTACCTGGCAGGGATGTTGTTAGGATTTAGAAGTATGATATTTTAATAACACTTTGAGCAGCTCAAAAAACAATATAAACTAGAGGTTGTATGAGTTAATGGAAAGGATTTGAAAGCAGGTGAATGAATATCACCTTTATTATTTATTACCTGTGTGGTCCTTGCCAAATTATTTTAACTTTATGATCCTTGGTTTCCCCATATTTACAATGAGGGAATGCTTACTCCACAGTTACCTATAGGGTGTTTCACAACATTTAACTTGGATGGGTCCTTCTGATCCTCATAATTTCCAGAGGGATGCAGAATCATTTTTATTTTATATTTGATGAAGCTGAAGTTGAAAACTGTTCAGATTTGATAAAAATCTGTTGAATTTGTCTCTGTATTTTAGTTTTGGCATTTTCTTTTTTGTCTAGTGAGGATATAATTTAAAAAATATTGCCATTAAAATATACCATTATCATGTTTTATCATGAAGTAGGAATTATTTTATAGTAAACCATATTTAAAATTATAATTTAGTGATTCTCTGTGACATTTTGCCTCTATAAAGTGGACTAAACTGAAGGGAATTAAAAGTCATTCCATGGCTGGCCCGGTGGCTTAGCGGTTAAGTGTGCGCGCTCTGCTACTGGCGGCCTGGGTTTGGATCTTGGGCGCGCACCAACGCACTGCTTCTCCGGCCATGCTGAGGCCGCATCCCACATACAGCAACTAGAAGGATGTGCACCTATGACATACAACTATCTACTGGGGACTTTGGGGAAGAAAAAAAAAGGAGGAGGATTGGCAATAGATGTTAGCTCAGAGCGGGTCTTCCTCAGCAAAAAGAGGAGAATTAGCGCTGATGTTAGCTCAGGGCTGATCTCCCTCACAAAAAAAAAAAAAATCATTCCAATATTTTAAGTAATATATCCCTCTGTACTGGTGATTCGTTAATTTAAATCTCACGTAGCATTCGATTCTCATTATTTGTGTCGGTTGTATTCTATAAAGTCACCATGAACACTGAGTTGGCAAATAACAGAACCATTGTTCCTAGACAAAATATGGGATTAGGTTCCTGTGAGCCTCTGGTCACAACATTTTCATCAACTGATCAATACATAACCTTGTTTTATGTATTTTTGCTTAAAGACACCTAAATTAATAGAGTATAGTGTTGATTCATTAACATTGAACTCACAGGCGACAACACTGTACTCATGCCTGAATGAAGCTTATCTAACATGTATTTTTGCCATAAGGCACGTTACAGTTGTCTTGAGTTTAGGAACACTAGACAGCACTTGAGTACTGTACAAGGGGCTGTTCTAAACAGTGAAACCACCAGCAAAAAGCACAAAAATTTAAAACATGTGGCACTAAATAGGCTGTGAAAAGGACACTTGTTTTCAGTAAGAGAGCTGAAACAAGAAGGTAGAGCGTCACCTTGTCTGCCCTCAGCTGGGAACCTGCATGTTGGGTGACTCAAAAGTTTTGCCACACCGCACGTATCCATGAGTGACCATGAAAGTGTCATGAAGTATTGATAATAGGGTTACAAATAAATTTTAGTGAGTAGGGAAATTTGCAAATACAGAATCCTAGAAGATGAGGATCCTTTGTACTATGGAATCATAAAGCTCTGTTGTTATAACCAGGAGACCCTAGTTTGTGTGGAACACCTTTCTGAATGTCATCAGGATCACACTGTGTACAAGTGAGGGAGAATGCCTATAATTCTCATTTGCAGTTATTAACATGTGAGCTAATCTTTCCAGGTACAGCGTAAGTCCATGAGAGTCAGGGTCCGCATCTTAATATGGCCTGTCATAATGCTTTAGATTCTCAAAAAATGCTTGTTGAATTAGGGAACTAATTTCTTTCCATGTTGTCATTATATTGGTCTCTTCAACTAGCGTATGGGGATAAAACTTACTCATAAAATTGTTTTGAAGATTCAGTGAGATAATTCATGAAAGCACTTAGTCCAGTACTTGGTTAAAACTCAGTAAGTGTTAGCCATTATTTAATCAGGTTAATTTAAAATATTAATAAGTGATGGTGATGTTGATGATGATGATACTGCCAGTTTCCTTTGCTGTGTGTGGACTCCATTGTCCTCTCCCATGCTGACACAGGGCCACGGTACCATGAAGATGATGAAAATGTTAAGAAGGCCCCCTTCTTCTCAAGAGTAAATCCACCATTTTTATCCTTGCTCTAAGTAGTCCCTATGTGCTAAGCCTAATTTTCTAAGCTGTCCTTGGAATTAAATCTCATTGTAATGAATTAGAATAGAACATTAGTATGTGTTGTGTGTGTTTATTAAGCTGAATTAACACTTCCAGAGAGCCGGAATTCTATATTCAACCTCTTTGTAATGAATTAGCAAATTGGAAATAAGTGTGATGAAACCACTTGGAGGAAGAGACTTTTTTTTTAAATCAAATATACACTATTCTCCTCTCTTAAGGCCTAGCAGGGTGTGTGTTTGTTTTTATTTTCTTTATATGGACATTTTATTTTTTTTTGGACATTTATAAGGTTTTGTAGATATAATGTTTGTATTTTACTCTTTTTCTTTTGAGCTGGTTAAGGTAGGATGGGCAAAGAAGAAAATGGAAGGATAATACCATTCTTGATGGCAAATTTGAAGCTATTAAGAACTTTCTTCTATAAGCTACTTCTTATAAAATTGGATACTTTTATTGTGTTGAAAGACTCCGTGAAAGGTTGGCTCTTCATACTGATTGTTTAATATACTGTGTTCTCTTCAGTATGAATCTGATGAACAAGAAAAAAGTGCCTATCAGGAGTATGACAGTGACAGTGATGTTCCTGAGGAACTGAAACGAGATTATGTGGATGAGCAGACAGGTGACGCTCCTGTGAAAAGGTAATTGTTCTTAGACTGTATGATATTTTGCATTTTATGTTGCACACTTAACGTACAGGATTTCCTTTAAAGGTTAAGAAGAAACAGAAATCAAGATTAAATTTTTCTGTTGGTTAGAACAGCATGTGACAGAAGTTAATATATTTTTAAAAATGATTCCAGAAAGAGTAAAAATGTCTTTTTTTTTTCATATTGGGCACAATCAAAGAGCTCTTAATTTAGGGCCGGCCCCGTGGCTTAGCGGTTAAGTGCGCACGCTCCGCTGCTGGCGGCCCGGGTTTGGATCCCGGGCGCGCACCGACGCACCGCTTCTCCGGCCATGCTGAGGCCGCGTCCCACATACAGCAACTAGAAGAATGTGCAACTACGACATACAACTATCTACTGTGGCTTTGGGGGAAAAAAATAAAAAAATAAATAAAATTATAAAAAAAAAAAAAGCTCTTAATTTAGAGATCAGTGATTTTTGCAGAAAAACTAACTTTTGATTTATAAAATCAGTGCTGCCTTTGGAGGCAATTTATGTTTCACATAGATCGGAAAACCTCAAGGAGGACAGTAGTCATTTGTTTTGTATGAGGAGTTCCTGTCTCAATCTAGTAAGAAAGAAAGTCTCTGCCTGTCTTCCCAATGTCATTTATGTGCACTATTTGAGCCTTCCATTAAGGTTCCTTTTTTCGTACTTGAGTTTTGTTTTATGATAAACTGTCCTCTGCAAAAACTATGAAATATAAGAATTTTTTGTCATCTTCTCTCAGTTAAATGGGCCTCATTCAATGTGTGAGTTAATTTCATGACTATCAGACATTTAATGACCACAAATATACTTTATTTATTTATTTTTGGCTGAGGAAGATTCACTCTGAGCTAACATCTGTTGCAAGTCTTCCTCTATTTTGTATGTGGGTTGCTGCCACAGCATGGCTTGACGAGTGGTGTAGGTTGGCGCCTGGGGTCTGAACCTGGCCCACAAACCTGGGCCGCGGAAGTGGAGCATGCCGGACTTAACTACTACGCCATGGGGCCGGCCCCACAGATATACCTAATTTTTAATGATAGATTTAAGTATACTCTTCCCTACCTTTTACCCCCAAAGTACCTAGTTAATATTTGATTGATTTATAACCCTGATTAATATAATCTCTTTCCTAAAAAGTGAGCAACTCATGTAATTGTGGATATTTTAATTGGAAAAATTTGTTTACATTAGTTTTCACATATGTATCAGATTTAAATATTTACATCTATGATTCATTGTGAATTAAGTAGAACTATTTTGTTAGACTTCTTCCTTAGATGTTTTGGGTATATTTTGGCTAAAAGGAAAGCTCTAATTAAATTGCAATGAACAGGTAAGATAGTGTCTGCCAGTATATGTGTATATACTTGCATTTTTGGTAGGGTTATGCAGCCTCCTAAACTGTCTTAAATTGCTCCTAAGAAGTATGAATAATGTGAATTACTAACTGCAGCCAATCAGTTAATAGTTACTATCAATTCCAACTTCTAAGTGTCTCTTGATTTTATCAAAATTCCTTGTATTTCCCTGCTCCCATCCTAGTTCATGCAAAAATCATCTCTGTGCCAGATTATTAAATCAGCTCCCTTACCTTGGCTTCCTGTCTCCAGTCTTGCTCTTTTCTAATCCGTTCTTGGATACAGATTTAGATTTTTTCTTATATACAAATTTGATCATGTCATTTTCCTGGTTAAAATTTTTAATGGTTCACCACTGCATTCAGGATAAGATTCATACTCCTTAGCTTTGATCGCTTTCGATGATCTGGCCTTGATTTACCTTCTTTCCTGTCACTTTTCCCTCTGCCCACTCATTCTCAGTGCTAGCACTGGAACTCCTTGTACTTCTCTGAGCACATACTGTTCCCTCTTACCTCTGACCTTATCACATGTTGTCCCCTTTTTTCCCTGCACTTACCGTATAACTTCTACTTTTCCTTTGAATCTAGCACCCACCCCTCAACCCCAGACTCTACCATCATACCTTAGACTTAATTCAGATTCTAAGGAGGATATTTTTTCATATTTGTAAGTCTTAAGTCAGGATTGTTGGTACATTTGATGTATAATTTCCCTAGAACATCTGTTTTTTTAAAGTGACACACGTATTTTAATGATTGATAATTAATGTCTTAGAATCAAAGAAATACATTATAGTACTTTATTTCTTACTAATTTCTCTTCTCTTCAGTTCTGAACTTTAAGCTTTGTAAGGACAGGAGGATAACCTCTATATCCCCACCTGATACACAGTAAGATTTTCAGTAACTAATTAGTGAATGAAGAATAGATCCTAAGCTGAGTAACTTATTGATTTACTACTTAACAACCCTAATTGCAACTTTGTTTTGTTTTTTCATATTAAGCGTTTCTCGAGAAACTCTAAAAAGCAGGAAGAAATCAGATTACAGCCTCAATAAAGTGAATGCACCCATCTTAACAAATACAACATTGAATGTAATAAGACTTGTTGGTAAGTAGCTGCACCTTTTTAAAAAAACATTGTTATACCAGTGAAGTTAGTCTGCTTTTGTTACCAAATGATTTGTATTTGGGGTTTTCATTGTATACTCCAGTGCCTCCCGCAGTGAAGCTTTGAGATTGTCATATGTCAATGCTTTCTCATCTTGATTGTTCCAAATAGTGTAATACTAATATTAATGTCAGTTTTTCTGTTTCAATTAGCTACTTAGTATTTGTGTCTTCCACTTTTTCTAAATATTCCAATTAATTGAAATGTAGTGAAAAATTCTCTGTGTGAGTTAGAGGTATGTGCAGGATGGTGATAGTACCAGTTTTACATTTACACAATATTTTATGCTTAATTGTTTCATTGATCTTCACAATCTTCCTGTCAGATGAGCAGAGTGAATAGTGATTCTCCGGCACCTTCAGACACAAGAGGTCTACAAGCTAAATGTTCACACTGTAGGAAGTGGTGTTGTTATTACAGATAAGACCTTTATTGATGATTTTTTAGAAGGCAAACAACATGAAGAAATGCCATTGAAATATTTAGATTTGGAGATGATGTGAATTTCTTAATGTCAGTATTTCAGCATTTTATGTGCTTTCTCAGCCCTTATATCTCACAAATAGGTCTATATATTTGACAAATAAGTTATAGAGATATCTTCTCACATTAATTGTCATCTATACCAGTCAGGAATTTTAGTGGTTTTCTATAAAAATCTCTATGTTCTGTTTATGGAGATGATAATTTCCTATTGCCTAATTTGATTACTCGTAGCTCCAATAAAATGGTCTGTATTTGTGAAGATAATTTTTAAATTTCGTTAATGAATAAGATAAAGTGGACAAAATGTTTTTTAGAAGTCCTACTCTAGGGAAAATAGTGGAAAAGCAATAATGAATTGAGAGGAAAAGAAAAGGTATATATTTTCATGACACACAGAAAAATGACAGATTCTAAAAAGCTATCCTGTGTCTGATTATTGCCAGGGAAATGAGCTTTGCTTCTTTATCCAAGAGAGCTAGCTGAACATAGCAACCTTAATTATTCTCTGGAATTTATAGAATCAGAATTGGAAGGTTTTGAGAGGTCATCTGATATAAATTCCCATCAAATAAGGATTTCTTTCTATAATGCCCCTAATACGTGGTGGCCATCTAGCCTTTGTTTCATGTCTCATGTCACTGAAAGCATATTATTTTGCAAGACTACTCATTCTACTATTAGACTGATTTAATTGGTAGGAATCTCTTCCTTATGGTAAACCAAAATCTCTCTCTCTCTGTAATTCTATCTATTGGTCTTAGTTCTGCCCTTAAAAGCAAATAGAGTTAAGTATGTACTTTTTCTCCTATTCTTCCATGTGGTCGCTTTTCAGATATGTTGTGGTAGTTATACTGTCCTTCCTTTCCTTATACTCCTCCCCGCAATCCATGCTTCAAGGTCAGTTCCCTTATGTGGTCCTCACTGATATATACTCTAAAATCCTTGTCACCCTCCTCAGCCTTCTGAACTTGCTGTGGTGTTTGGTGGCTGAATACTCTGCTTGAGATGTAGTTTAATGAAGTCAGCTTTTGCCTGGTTATGTTGAGGTAACAGACCACACTAACATATTAGTGGCTTTCAGCCACGAAGGTTTATTGTGATGCGTATTGGCTCCTGATCATCTTAGTTATGCTCCGTGTGTGTTTTCATTCTGAGATGCAGGCGGAAAGAATAGCACCAACCTGGAACATTGGGAGAAGAGTAAGAGCCAAACCATGTTATTACTCCTAAAGCTTCTGCTCTGATGTGGCACCCTGACTTCCTCTGATATGTCACTGGCCAAAGCAAGTCAGGCTTGACCATGGGAGAGTATACCTCTGCTCCAGGAAGGCACTACAAGTCCAGGGCAGTGGACAAGGATGCATAATCCTCTTGCAAGAAATGTGGGCGCATAATTGGGGAAAACAATACAATTAACCACATTTAGGTGGTAGTTTCTATTTTTAACCTTACCTAGTTCAAAAAGGACTAGAGGTCATCATGTTGTTTTTCCCTCTAAAAGACGTGTATTCAGTAGAATCAAATAAAATATAAGGCTAAAATAAAATTGAGGAGAGGATATATTTTCATTCAGTTAAATCATGTTTCATTCAGTTAAATGCAAATAACAAGTACAAGTTTTCACTTCTTGGTAGGTATAAGGAAATGAAGAAACAATTCATTCTGCTACTCTTATTATCTAAGAAAGGGATATAATGATAGAAATGTGCTACTGGTGCCAAGTTCAGAAGACAGTAACAACAAAATCATATAAGGATTACTGATCGACATAGTAGACATTGTTTTCTAACAGTGGATTTATAGAAACTGAGAAAAACTACATTCTTGCGGGCCTTTGGTATATCAGCCCTATAACGCAAAGCAGTCCTGCATAAAACCTTACTCAGTGAAGAGAATCTGACCATTGTAATTTCAACCTTCTTCCCCACCAGATCTTTACTAGAGTTGCAATTAGGAACAATGCCTAGTATGGTAATTTAACTTTCTTCGTTTGGGGTGGGATTAGGTGCTGCCATTACTCCCCCCAGTAGATTTTCATGCCTACCACTTTCTCTCTCCCTACGATGTCTTTATCTTCAGTTTGTAAATATTCATAAAATAGAATTTTAAAGGAACCACTCACTAAGGGGTCTCCCACTCTTAAATGTAATATTCCATCCCCTGTTGTTATTGCATAGAGGTGCTTGAAGATTATAAACTGGCAAAGGTAATGCCTCTTCTTAAAAAGCCAGAAGTACAGTCGTGTAAATAAGATTAATTTTTGGTGCCTGGGAAGATGAAGGAACTAATTATTCGGTAGTTGGGAGATAGATTTTAGAACATTAAAGGCATGTTCAAAATGTCCTTTTCAAGTAGTATTTATTTGGCAGATAATTAGGAGAGATTAAACAAAAGAAATGTTAATGGGGCTTCCCGGCCCCAAGTGGTACCTAAATCTGTTAGAAAGGCTCAGGGAGCCTTTCACGAATGCAGAGCACTAATCGGAATGCTCGCTTGTATAAAGAGAAAATCCTTTCAGCCTGACAATTTCTTGCAGACAGAGGCAGAGAAATTTTAGGGAATGTGTCTCATCACTGAAGTAGCCTTGGTATTCAAGTTTCTCTGTCCTGGAGGCAGCTCTCCTTTGAGCAGGTATGATAGGTCTGAGGCACAGAAGATAGGTTGCCAAAACCCATGCTTGTAAAAACTGCAGACCTTACAACAAAATTATTACTTAAGCAGCTGGAAAAAATACATACCAGCACATGCATCAGGATTTAACATGAAACTAGGAAGTGTGCGCATAAGGGATATTTAGGCATCATGTGTCTGAGATGCAGTGCATATGGTGGAGAAAACACAGAAATAGGAGGGAAGAGATCCACTCCTTCACTGGTACGTTCTTTTAGGTGGGACATTAATATTATTATCATGGAGTGTTTTAAATTGAAAAAGTAATGCAAGAAAGTGGTTAAAAATTAAAATACCCCAGGGTATAAGCAGAGCCCCTGACCTCCGAGTCTCCTTCCTCAGAGAAAACTACTGTTTCTCCTCTTTTCTTTTAGAAATATTAATGTGCTTTTACAAGTATATTTAATGTGTGAATCTCTTCTCTTCTGTTTTTTGTTGTTTTTGTTTGTTTCAAAAATTGGATCACACTATATATGCTGTTATTCTTCTGGATTTTTTGACTTCAACTATCTTAAAGTTACACGTAAAATATCAAAGTATTACATATCTTAGTGTGTTTAGATCTCATTCTTTTTAATGATCCTATTAGATAGGGGTACCACAATTTATTTTGTAAGTCCTCTATTTTTTAACATTTAGGTTGTTTGAAGTCATTTGATGCTGCAAACAATGCCACAGCAAATATCCTTGAAGAAATATCTTTGTCCATATACAAATACAGCTGTAGAACAAATTCCTACAAATAGTTCCTCATGCTGGATCAGAGTGTGTATACATTTTCAGTTTTGATGGACATTCTCAATTTACCAAAGAAGTTACTAAAGAAGTTACTAAAGAGGTTCTGTTAATTTACCTAACAATGTCTGAGAGCATCTCTTCTCTCTGTCTCTCAGCAACACTGTATCATCCAACTTCAGATGCTGCCATCTGATGGGTTAAAAATGGCATCTCAGGGGCCAGCCCGGTGGCACAGTGGTTAAGTGCACACACTCCGCCTTGGCAGCCTGAGGGATCACGGGTTTGGATCCTGGGCGCATACCGCTCGTCAAGCCATGCTGTGGCGACGTCCCATATAAAGTAGAGGAAGATGGGCATGGATGTCAGCCCAGGGCCAATCTTCCTCAGCAAAAAAGAGGAGGATTGGCATCCGATGTTAGCTCAAGGCTGATCTTCCTCAAAAAAAAAAAATATATAAAAAAATAAAATAAAAATGGCATCTCATTCAAAATGTATTTAATAGTGAGTTTAAGCATCTTTAAATATAAAAAGATATTTCTACTTATTTGTGAACTCCTTATTCATTGCCCGTTTTTTTTCTAATAAGGAGATTATATGTTTTAATTTCAACATTAAGGAAATTAGTCTTTTTCTGCCATGTGTATTGTATTCATTCATTTTCAATCCAACAGATCTTTTTTTGAGCTACTACTTTGTTCCAGGCCTTCCGCTATCTGTTGGAAATATAGTCCTGCAGAGGACATAGTCTGTGTAGTTGAGGAGCACAACATGGGAAATAACATATCAAAGAAAAAAATTTATATTGTAGTGTTGTAAGTACAAAAAACAGAAAAGAGGCAGAAAGAAAGAATGATTAAGTTTCTTTTTTGGGTGGCAAATAAAAGGGCTGACTCACTAGAGGGCTGACACCCTAACTGACTTTGAAAGATGAATAGATTCTCATAGATGAAGAAGTTGGCAAAGGCATTCTAACCAGAGTGCAAAGAACAACATGTGCAAGACATGGTATATTCAGAGAACATAGCAGTTTAGTTTTCTGTATATGA